CAACTCTTGTCGCTAACCTAACTAATATCATCATAACCCATTGAGCCGAAATTTGTCCACAGGAAGGGAGGAGGGAATGCACCCAGCCACCTTGTGCACATCTATGCAGTAGCCAATGAGCCACACCTTTTGTGTGAGGGCTAGTGACATCACTTGACTGCTCAAATCTCGGTAGGTGAAGCGGGGCTCGAACACGCGACCCAATGGCTGATAGTTATCTCCCTAAACCACTGAGCTACGGCTCTACATAACCTGTCTGGAGGTTAAATGTAGGTTCAGCGTCGTTGTTTCTACGTTTATCAATAAGGTGAATAGCACATTGATCAAACGTTAGCGAAGTCAACTGAAGAAATTGGTATGGAAGGTGATAGAAGGATTCATGATAGAAAGTGGTAAAAAGGTATAAAGTCATCAAACTTTAATCGCAATATGAGGAAAGTTTACAGTTATGTGGCAGTGAATGGTTAAACATCATCAAAGGTGACCAGCATGAACATGAATATTCTTAGGTAGACAGACATTGTTTCTAATATTCAGCGTTAAACGCTGCGTATAATTCATATAAAGATTTTAAGAGCCCATCGTGGTAACATTTTACTTGATTTCCAATAGTTTCCTCTCATCTTTTTGTTCATGTGTTTCGTGTAATTTATCATATAGAGACGAAAATTTCCTTAGGTTTGTAGGCGAAAAATAATTTCGTAATATTTAAAGTGTATGAGTGTCCTTTATTCTTTTCTCACTACTTCTATCCTTTTCTTTTTTCATCACAGCCTCTTTTTCTCCTGTCATCATTTTTGTTGTTACATATGAAGAGTGAATTTCTACTTGTTTAATGACTCATCTTCAGTTTTTTTTTCTCTGGAGAAAAATCTCAGTCTAAAATTTCCCTATGATTCATCGTTTGCTATTATAACCATAAAAATGAAAATTTCTTCATACAGTCGTTTAATTTAGGCTGTATGATCTATTTGCTGTGATTATTAGTCGTGTTGTTGTGTCATTGTGTTATATATATATATATATATATATATATATATATACACTCTACTAAAGCACTACAGCATATCAATTTATTCAGTTTTACACTTTACTGAAATATGAATAGTTTAAATAGACTATTTTGCCTTAAAAACATCCGATAACCTGATTATAAATCAATGATCGGGATCTCGGATCTATTTTCATTTTGATCAACACTGACAGACGTAGAAAACGTAATATAAATCCTTACTCTACAAATGTTATGAGCCGTACTTATTGCGTTAAGGCTTGGATACTACCGAATTGTTCAAACCGAAGTTGCAGTATTTAACCTGAGACCCATCGATACAAAGTTGAAGACTCAAACCGATGAGCCACACTTTTACAACAGACCTAGGACATGTTATTCTGTTCAGTTAATGTAACAAGTTTTTTCGTGTTCATGACACTTTTGTGTCAGAGATCATATTTTATGATCTTAACTGAGTGGTTCCCAACAGAAAACCTGTTGACACCACGTTTGGGAAGTTGGAAAGCTACTCAGCTTTGAGAAAGTCAACGCGGACATTGTATCCAGTTGACTTGGAGTATGTAGACGATATTGTCATGTTAAGTGAAGACTGACAAAATGCAGAGTCTTTTAGACGAGTTGAGCAGAAATCTGAGTATGTCTAACATACGTTTCACACCTGTCGTGAACTGTAAGATGATGTTCGAGAACTGGTCTGCAACTACTCCCAGTTTAATGATAGGAAGTGAAATGGTGGAATGCATCGACCACTTCACTTACTTGGGTAGTTGGAATAGCCCGAACAGACTGGTTGCTGATGAAATCTCAGCTTGTTTGGATACCGAAGGTCCGTTTGGCACTTGTTAATTTACGTCACGTGTGGTGCCGTTGAGATATCCGACTATCTATCAGTGGATGAATATACTGCGCTGCAGTTCGTTCTGTTCTGCTGTGCGGTCGTTGAAAGTAGAAGACATGAAATGATTAAAGGGTTTTAATCACAGATGTCTTGGTAGCATTGCTTGCGTTTGATGGGATCACTATCGGAGCAGTGTTGAGTTGAGGTGAAGGGTACCATTTAAGATATAGGCAAGTCAATTGACGAGGTTGTTAATCTTCATCGGCTAAGGTGACTTGAACATGTGCTGCGTATGCCGACCCATCGCCTACTTCGATGTGCCATACTGAGGGGAAGTTGAATTAGTTTGGAAGAGGGTTCAGGGTGACGAGACTAAGACGAAACGTTAGTCGATGAAGCCTCTGATTGTTGGTCTGAGCGGTATTGAAAGGTGAAGACTACCTGGTTGGGGTGCCCGAGACGAAAGGAATCAGTGCGTGGTTGAGGACACTTGGTGATATGGCTGAAAATCGGTCACAGTGGCACAGATGTATTTATTCTTAAATATTGATGCTAATCTTTATCTTCAAGTTGTTTATTGCCTCTCTCAATTTTATCTCGTTTGATATCAGTCATTTTCTATCCACCTGTTCTTTGTGTACTACTGTAAAGTGTAATAACTTGAAGTGACACACTTGTGTACGAGGTTCTATCTGTTCTGTCTCAATCTATCTAGTCAAAATGTCGTATCTATCCATAAAAATAGTTGACATTCAACTGGTTTACCATTGTTTTAATAGTGGGTAACATCCAAAGCTTCATTTGATCAAATAGGTTTGTATTAAGCAAAAGTGGTACTGCAACAGCGAACTAGAAGTGATCGAAATGGAACCGAATAATTTTGCGTAGACGTGATTATTTCTAATATGCACAATATTGATTCACTACCTCCATAAAATGCCTAACTTATACATGAAATAATTGAACCTTAATTCACTTTCCATGTTATATCTCTGTTCATTCAGTCAATGACCAGTTAACATGTTTTGGCCTTCGTTTGTTTGTCGTATGTGTCTGATTCTGAATGTCATTTTCTTCATGTCTGAATTTTATCTTCATTCAGTCTATTGTTTTGTTACTATAAGCAAATTTTTTCGAAATCATTCAGATTAGTATGGAAATTGGAATTTACTAATTATTTCTTTTACTTAGAAGAAAAGAAAGTGATGTTCACTTAAATCTTACTACACTTTGTTTCATATATATATATATATATATATATATATATATATATATATATATATATATATATATATATGCTTGTCTGTACATAAGTTTAGATTGCCGGTGACATCAGTACCTACAGCATCAATTAGGATCCTTATTTGTTTATCATCTTGTTCTCTTTTATGCTTATTCGTACTTTGACTCTATAATCACTAGACGTTTAAATGGAGCTCGAGAACAGCGAACTCTAGAAAAGCAATCAGGTTTCAGGCTCAGCCATCGATGTATCTACCAGATATTCATTCCCATCAGGTTCTGGAGCACAGGTACATATACCGGCACTCGACATTGTCTGTATTTCTTGGCTTTTGACTCCGAACGAGAGATCTTATGACAGCATTTCTCACTGAAACGGGTGGTGAGTAAGTTCATTACTATCCTAAAGACTGCTCGAACACATGTGGGCGTCTCAGAGCCTATCGTGTCCATCATGGATGTCCACACTCTCCATTCTTATTTAATTTTGGCATAGAAGCACTTGTGAAAACCTTCTTCTCGTCATCTGACTTGATGAGAATTAACCTTGTCACAGGAGAAGTTTTAGTCGATCAGTGGAACCCAGATGATATAGTCTGGTTAGATGAAGACACTGACAATATGTGGAATCTTGTGGACACATTGAGTGGCAATTGTAGGATGTTCGTGATGAGTTTCTCACTACTCAAATGTAAACTGTCTTATGACTGGTGTTCGTCCGCCTTTTGTCTAACAAAATATGTAGTGAAATGGTTGGTGGCGTCAAGCACTTGACTTACGTGGGAAGTTGGATGAGGCATGGTGCATCACTGACTGATGAGATATTTGCATGAGTAAGAAGGGCTCGCTTAGCTTTCACCAACTTACTCCATTTCCGGCACCTCGGCGATCGATATCTGATTTGGCATGAAGGACTGAGCGTACTGTGCTTCAGTTGTCTCTGTCCTACTACATGATAGAGGACATGAGAAGGCTTTATGTGTTTGACCACTGTTGCCTTGTTGTCACAGACTGTGTGTCGTGGTATCACCAGCTGAGTAAGAGTGAAGTCATCGTAGAGTTTTGAAGAGAAGAGAGAAGTCATTTGATGAGGTTGTGAACCTTCATCGACTGAGGTGACTGGAAGTTGTGTTACACATGCCCTGTCACTGCCTGCCTCATTGTACTATTTCAGTTGAAGTAGATTTATGCCGGAATAAGGTTGGAAAGGGTAAAAGTGGAACATGGCATCAATGTATGAAATTTTCGACCATTGGTGTGATGCATGTAGAAGAATGTAGACTTTGGATTTGAAGTCCATGTGACGACAGAAACCAGTTTTTTGGAAACTAGATAGTGATATTAGAGGAAACGAGAAGACAGAGATGAAGGAAGGTATGTTCGTTTTTAACTTGTGGCTTAATAGTCGTTAAATATGGTACTCCTTGCACTAAGACAGTCATTTGCAAAATGTGCTTCATTTCCTCTTCTGCTTCTCTCTTGATTCGCTCTTCATACAGCAGCGTTGTATTTTGCGTTTCTCTTAGCGGAATCCTCAGACATTGCTGGTAACTCCCTATGACTTCTGCCACCCTCTCAATATATACGACTTAAATCCATTCTTATCTGCAACATCCACTACAATATGACTGTGATTCTGTCAGTGGCTCAAATGTATTCACTTTTTATCTTCATTTTGATTTCTGTATATTTTCTTAGCGCTTTCTCACTTTATTTGCTGATATAAGGTGTAGGGACTTGGATCACTATGCAGAATTTCCAGATCCTATGTTGATCTTGTCTCTGGCGAAAAATTTAACTAGTCTGTGTTTATTGTCATGTAGTACACATATTGTATGCAACGAATTTCCAGCTAATCTCATCTGTTAATTTTCATTTCTCTGGGTTTACCCAATATTTGTATAGGGTCTTCCGATGTCCTGGCAAATGCTTCTAACAGCATCAAATATATCACGTACAGAACAAGAAAAGAATCCAGAAATTCTTCTTGGTGTACTTCAATGCTTTGATGAATCAGCTAAACAGAAAGATAAATATATGACAAATGTATCTGTTCTTACAAGTATGTTGTTTACGTTACAGTCTATTATTTTTATTATTAGAAATTTTATGCTACTTTCTGGTACCTTAATTGTTATTGTTTACACTGGGTGGCTTTATTTTAAATGTGTAGTTAAACCTAGTGTTATTGCTTGTATTACACCGTCGTTGATTGGACCGGTCCAATCAACGACGGTGTAATACAAGCAATAACACTAAACCTATACCCGTCGCACAAGAAGTGGCTATCGTGGCTCGGTGGTGTAGTGGATAACGCACTGGCGTTTGAAGCGATCGCTCCCGAGTCCAAGTCCCGGTGGGAACAACATCACTCACTGGGAAACAGGCACATCCAGCTGACGAGTCCCAAGCAGGACGAAATGCGCATCCTGGATTCCACTGCTAGCCACTGCCCATCATTACTGAATAAAGTGTAGTTAAATCGTTATAATTTGCTAGAATACATCATCTTTTCTCTGCTTCGTTGGAATAAAACGAACTGTTGACCAGCAGTATTGCGTTTCTGATGGAGTGTCGTTATGGATGGCTTTTTCCAGTGCACCAACCAGATGACGATGATGACAATAATGACGTTGAGAAGTAGCTCACATCTTCATTGGAGAAACACATCGTTATGAACAAGCTACTACATCTGTATAAGAACCAGACATGTATATCTTTTATTGTAAGTGTATATATATTATGTCTATGACACTATTACCGTTAAAGATGGGTGACATGAAAAGGTTCCAAGTGTTCAACCATCACTACCTTCGTAGCATAGACTGTACGTTGTGGTGCCACTATGTCAGTAGCGTCAAGTTCTAGGCGCTAAAAAGGAACATCAGTTAATGTTTTTGACCTTCATCAACTTAAATGGCCATTATATGTGTTATCCATATCTAATAACTGTCTATTTCGTATCATTGTGTTGGCTAAACTAGGTTAAGGCCAGGAAAAGTTTAAAGACAACCAGTTCAGTTCATTGAATCTCTGACTGCCACTCTGAGCTTTGAAGGGGAATGTAGGCTTCCTATTAGGGTTTACGTGATCTTCCTTTTTTGGGAACAACCCGTTGTTGTACCCCGTACTTTATATGCCCCCCCCCCCGCCTATATCAAAAGTCTCCATTTTATCCTTTTTTCTTCAAACTTTACTGAATCTGGGGTTTTTCCCCGTATCATTCTTGATAACTTGTCTTCGCTGAATTCCCCCATCTTGTCAAATTCCATCGTTTTGGCTGCTGATAGGTTTTACTCTGCGCTGGTGATCTTATTCTTCTCCTATACATCAATTGGAATGGAGATGTTATTCCTTTCTCGGAGTTACAATGTGTTAATAAGATGAGTGACAGTTCCGCTTCCCGGTTACCTTTTGCGACCAGTTATTCTCTGAGGGTACGATTATTCCTTTCTGTCAACCTATTAGTCCATAGGTGACAAAGAGTTATCCTTAGCCTCTGAATACCCAGCTATTTTAAGTGGGATGCAAAGTCTTCACTCCCGAAAAATGGACTCTGACTAATCAATATCGTCTTCGGTACATCGTACTTTGCAATAACCTGCTAAATAACAGACTCTGTAACCATATTTGTGCTTTGGACGGGAACTACAACCGTTCTGACCCAACATGTCGCGCGCTCCTTTTTCATCATTAAGAGGTACTAGTTTCCACTGGATGTTTGAAGAAATGATCCAATAGCTTCTACTGACTAAACATCATTGATATGTTATATGAATTGACTGAAATTATAGTCATGTACACCGATTACTTCTCATCAGTTGGGACATCATTTTGCCTTCCCACAAGATTTTCGATTGAAATATGCTTCATCCGATGATTAGTTATATCAATTATCAACAAAAAAAATATCTAAAAATGTTTTCATCAAATGTCAATATGCCTTATGTAACAATATACTTGTAAAAAGTATAAATGTTTATAATCTGTATTTCTCTACATTTCACTACACTCGTAAAATGGTACTGTTGTGTTACGATCAAGGCTTTTTATTATCAACTGCATTCATTGTTTCTTGACATTCTATATATAACACTTCTATAGAGTCATATACTCACTTTCGTATACTCATATAATTTTCGAAGATATTTTTAATCTTTCAACACCTTCGATATACTTGATTATTCGCCTTCTTAGATAGTAATTCATGACAGATAGTTCCTAAAGGCTTTCACTTGATAAACAGACGTTTCATTTATATAGTCTCAGCATTATCACACAGTCTGCTATTCTAATTCTTGTTTAAACTTGAAGGCGTAAAATATGCAAACTATATCTGAGATTTTCTGTAAGGCATTAAGATTCAGTTATTAATAATGGTGTAAATGTACTCAGTTTTTATCATCTTCAAAATTCGCAGCATCTTCGTATACACACTTTTTTTTAAATACCTTAATGTCATGAAATGTGGCAATTATAACTGATGTAATTGGGGTTAAGGTTCAACGTTTACTTGTCTGTCTCTGTTTATCTGCCTTATCACCTGTACTACTTATGCTTTCAAACATACTGAGGTGATCACGAACTAAAAACATTTGTACACTATACTGCTGAGTTTGAAACATAGGTTATGGAGCTGTAGCTCAGTGATTTGAGGAGATGACTGTCAACCACGAGTTCGAGCGCTGCTCTACCTACCGAGATTTGGGCAGCGAGGTAGTATCACTAGCTCTCAAACAATAGTTGTGGCTAATTGCGACAGATAGACACAGAAACATAAGTTTCGCTTTCATTTCAGGATAAATCAAAGGAAAAATAGGTTGTTTTACTTTAGACTGGTTTTCATTACCAGAGCATAATTTTGTATCGTCTACGATGGCAAACGCTCCACTGAACTGATAAGTTAGATTGTTACTGAAATGAGCATTATACAATTTGCTGACAAGTAGTGGCTTGATAACTTAACTTTCGATAGCTATATTGTAGTCTATGCTTGATAAACTATTTAGTTACTAAGGGAAAACTGTTTAGGAAAATGTTTGGTATCAAGAAAATATACATAATTATTGATTTGTGTCATTTTTAGAAGGCATAAGAAGAAATAATCAACAACACATCACATTACATAAGTGAACTTATATGATCAATAGACCAATGGTTTCTCTTTCTTATATATCCGTAAGGTTGTACCTCTAAGGTAATCAAATCAAACATGCTCAAGTGGAATTGACATTGGACAGTATGTGAGTAAGAATAATTACTCTGATTGACTTACCGGATTTCATGCTGATGTAATCAAACTTGAACATAAGTTGAGACTATTGTCTTATACTTGATTTGTTGATAGTAATTTTATGACATTAGGTTGGAGACAAATTGATTTCATCATTCTCCTACATGTTTAATTTGATCGAATGATATGAAGTGCTATATCTTATCAACTTCAACATTTTAATTCCAAGCAATGAGTCTCAGGTTTAAGTCCATTCCCGCCTACTTTGGACTTGGCAATTTGCACATTAAGTATGGTTCATAGTCCAGTATATTACCACCGCATTGGTTGATCACTAGAGAGCAACCAATTTCATGTTTTAATTTGGGTGTTAGTGTGAGGAGGGATTTAGTGATTTTCAAGTTGGTATTGATCATGGATTGATATCAGTTGGAGAAACATTGGAAACCTGGAAAGGACTGGATAGCTGGTTTGTCCAACTAGTATAAGACTCCCTAGAAGTGCGCACCCTTGACCTCCGCTAGGGATCGTACCCAGGGCCTTCGGGTTCCGTGGCAAGCTGAGTCAAGGGTGCGCATTTTTGAGGAGTCCCATACTAGTTGGACGAAAAAGCTATCCAGTGTTTTTCAGGTTTCCAGTGTTCCTCCAACTGATGTCAGTCCATGATGAATACCAATTTCATGTTGTCTAGTCCTGAGTGCTGACCGAATTCTGTCGATCGTTATTTGCATTGTGGTCACAAAGTTAGGAGGCTAATTTCACCATCGGGGTGCACTTTGATGGATGTTAGTTGGTTAGAGGGCTTCCAGCCGATCGCTTTCAGCCAACTACCATATTAACACAATGTACTGGCGAGATACAAATACTTCATTGGTTCTTTTATCGATTCATGTTCTATTTGTATAAATGAAGTTTATGCATTAATCAATTTATTTAATAGACATACTTTCTCACGTTTGAGAATCCATCATTTTTTTTAAAATAATTCCACTCATTTCTCACTACTTCCCCTATTTCACTCGTTTGCATCATTTTGTTTTCCGTTTCAATATTTAGACTCATCTGGATCTATTGAATCTATGAATTCCAACTCTCGTTCTTGTTCCGTTTCCTCTCAAAGTATACAAATAGCTCCGGGTCATTGTGATATTGGCTGTTTGCATTCAACCGCTTACCCATCTGGTGTATTCAACTCTACTACATCAGTATCTGTACCTATTTCTGGTGAAGACAATAATTTAATTATGTCAATGGCTGAAACTAGTCTGACAGGAATAGCAATCAGTTCCAGTGGTCTTCCGGCAACAACACATTCTTGTGCCGGTAGCAATAGCAGTGGTCGTGGTAGTAGTTGTACTACAAATAGTGGAAGTGTCGGTGGTCGAGGTGTAAGCGGTGGTGTCCCGAATGGTTTGAGTGCTGCAAGCTTAGTAGAATTAACTTCTAATCATACTCATGGATGTCCTTTGGGTCCTGGTAGAAGAACAAGCACAGGAGGAGCAGTATTTTCAGGTGGTATTAGCCCAACTTGTACATTCGGTGGACGTGCAAGTGGTTCAACGATCCCTGAAATGTCCCCTGCTCTTGGAAATCATAGAGGTATCAATGATGCAGGAGATATTGCACGTTCTGGACCAGATCCCTTGATATCAGCCAACTCAGGAACTCTGACAAATGGACAATTTCTTAACCATGGCCATCATGTAAGAGACACACATCTTGTAGGTGATAGTCATAATGGTCATGCAGCAGTCTCTGTACCGATTTTCCCAATGACATCTGGTGTTAGTCTTGGTGGACTTAGCAGTAGCCGGTAAGCTATTAGTTTATGTTTACTATTTCACGTATTATTTAACAGTGAAGCTAAGCTAACATGATTAAGTTACAAGCCAAATATAGTTTGGAGGTTAATGTTACTAGTTCACTAGGGTTGTGTTCTCTGAGCTGGATGGTGATTTAACTGGTGAGCTTTCGTTGTCTGTCTGGACAACATCAACACTAACTTAATAATTAAACCACGCCATCCAGGTAAGAGAAAGGAATACCAAGATTATGCACCATTACATCAAATTATCCTCGAATCATTTGGTAGGTCGAACCTGATTAGAAGTTGGGTGTATATATTTATGACACATAACTCCATGACACTATTTTTACCCTAGTCGTCTTCACTAACATGTAATTGTTTGATTACTTGATTGTTTTCTATATTTCAAATGTATGAAGTATATTCCAGTTGTTTCAAATATATGTTTACATGGAATATAGTTTGGCAAACAGTTATTTTGTTTTTGGCATAAATTCAACGAAAATCATTCCACACACCTTTTTAAACATTACTGACTTTTACAATGTTTCTTATTCACATCTTATTTCATCCATAGAATTATCATTACTTTATTCAATACGAAGCTATAAAAGCAGTTAGACATGCCTTCGATGAATAGTTATTTCAGACAGTTTTACTTCCTTTTTGAAGTCAGTTTAGTGCATACCTTAACTTAACTGTAAAGTTATGAACTAATAATGTGTTGTGTACATGTCACTGCTACTTCTTAATATATTGGCTCATTGCTATTCAGTACCTACTGGTCATTTTCTAAGTGTATGCTATAATATGTTGGTCTTTGTAACAATATATGTGTACAATTTCTTCTCAGTGTATTCGAGACTTAGTGTATACAGTCAACTGATTTGTGTGCGGAAATATTTCTACCTTAAAAATCACATCCAATATGACTTACAGCTAGCTAGTCATCTATTATTTTCTTTTAATTGCCGAAGTTTAACACCTATGAACCTCGTGGACATCACACATAATACAAACGTCGTGTATGCATGTCATTGATACTGAGCAACGGTTAGGTCACCAATATGATCATCGTTGAATGTAGTATTGTCTGGATAAGTTATCATCTCACCTATTCTTTAATTGTAGAGTATAACAACCTCAAAAATGACATGTAATACATAAACCCTTTTTCTATTTCACGTTTCACTATTTGATTCATTTATCTACTCTTTTGTAGTAGTAGTGGTTGTTCACTATCCTGTTCTGGTGCTAGTGGTAATGTTAGTATTTCTGGTTTAACAAATTCAATCAGTATGACTGGACAACTTTTTGGCGGTACAAATAGTAGTGGAAGTAGTCCTACAAGTGTGTTGCCTCCTACTATGATACCATCTCAAACAACTGTATCGTATAATAATTGTTGTTCATTTGGATCTTATCCGTCATCATCATCATCTCCACCACCGCCTGTTCCACCTCATGCAACTGTTGTAATGAAGAATTTAGAATTTTCTGAAATTGGCAGTATTAAAGAAGAAGGTACCTTACGACATACCTCTTCATTTCATAATACAATCCCTCAATCATCAATAAGTATATTGTCTCAAGAAGATTTATTAGTTCCAGAATCATGTATGATGGTAGGCGGTTCTTCTTCTGATGAAGAAGACGATGAGGATGAAGAACACGAACAAGACGAAGATGATGAAGAAGGCGAAGTAGTAGACAATGAAGAGGATAGCGAGAATGAACAAAGTGAATTGAGCAATAACGAGATAACTACATCTCAAGTTACTGTAGAATGGATGACAAGCAGTGAAACTGGAAGCAATTTACCTACTCCAATGACTATGTCAAAGGTAAGATTGTTTACTGAATTGCTTTTATCTTTTCACTTCCTTATTTGTGTAGTATTGTATACAAGCTGACGTGTTTGTAAATTACATAAAGATATCTCACTTTTCTACTTAACGTGTAATCATTACTTTCTTCGGAAATGATCAATTTTTTACTGACATTAAATGCTTTCTGCTCACATTGCATAATGATCGATAGAATTCGATCAGTACTTAGGACTAAATTCGGTTACTCTCCAGTGAGCAATCAATGTACCTAATCCATTCGTACAAGAGGTCAGTCGCAGCTCGAATGAACCAGCGGTAAGGTCACTGACGCGGGTTCAAATCTCAGACGGGATATCAGTTCCATCGAGGTTTCGTTGACAAAAGCTAAAAAAGCACTAAACTTAAGTCAACTATGACTTTCAGCCGATTACCTTCATCCAACTAACATCTATCAAAAAGTTTCTTTCAACTCGAAAGATTACTTCACATCATTCTTAATGACTACTAATCAGTTTCTGAAACGATTTTTTAGTGACTTAACGAAACACCTATGTAAAATGAAAAGATAGTTGTATTGTTTGTTCTATGATGGTTAGTTTTGACCAGGTATCCGGTCCACTATTCCTATCAACATATGAGGAGGGTAATAACTTTTTTTTTCAAAAAATTGTTCATAACTCTTTCTTTTCTATTCTACCTATTAGTATTGATTTATTCATTTGTGTTTACATACTTATGTGTATACAAATTTGTAGGACTCAGAATATGCCATTTCATCAAATGAAACTTTCGAAAATCGAAACGGTCTATCCACCTCAAATCGAACAACTTCAAGTGCTGCTGCTACTACTACTACTGCTGCTGAATATGTGAATGTTAATTTATCGGATTTCGGTAAGTAGAAAATAAAGATTAGTTCGAAAAAGAAATACAACAGTTAAAATGCTTTTGAAGGTGTTATACTTGTTCAATTTATAGCAGTGAAATCCAGGATGCGCGTTTCCTTCTATTTGGGACTCGTCTCCCAGTATGTGATGTTGTTCCTACCGAAAACGCGAAACTGATCGTTTCAAACACTAAAGTGTTATCCACTGGAACACGATAGCCAATTCTTGTGTGATGGGTTTAGTTTTTATGTTACTCTTATTATCCGGTCGTTGATTCGACCAAATCGATTAGTCTCTATTGCTATATGGGCTCCTGCATGCATGCCTCGATATTGCCTGTCGTTTCAATCTTATATTAATGATGGCTATCAGGAGAACCCTGGATGCGAGTCTCGGATAACGTTATAGCGTTTGAAGCGATCGGTTTCGGATGCGAGTCCTAATGGGGGAACAGCATCACTTACTGAGAGGTAGGTACATCCAGCTGACGGGTCCCAAAGAGGACGAAACACGCGTCAGGCTGGATTCCAATGCTAGCCACTATCCATCAATTATATAAAATTGGTAATGTTGAGTCATTCGCACAGGAGTGCGTATGTCAGTAGAGATCGACTAATTGGGTCCAGTCAACGATGGAATAATACAAGTAACAACGTAAAATTTATTGCGTAAATTCATAAAATCTGTTGACTCACTGAACCAATTTTTTCTTCATCAAGTTAGACGCTGAATACTTTCGTATTTCTTGTATGATATAATGCGCTGCTACAGAAAATATTGTTTATCGGTGCTTCATTAGATAAATTAGATTTATTTAAAACAATTAGTCCAAACTAACCCTACGTCAGCATTTGACGTAAACTCGAACGTTAGTTTGACGGTTACATTTACCGTACTTAATAAAGATAAATCCACTGATCTTTGTTTTCTTTTATTATATGAAGATAATGGGACAACAAAAATTCAACCAATTACTTCTGAACGAGTTATCCCACCAGCTGTTCCCGTCAAACCTCAAGGTTTAACTCAGGTGTTTCGTATACAGCAACAGGTTAAAATGCAACCATCATCCAATTCCTCTTTACCACGACAAACTAATAAAATCAATGATTCTACTTCTGTTAATACAGCACCAATAACTGCTGCTGTCGAAGATGTAATAAAATCAACTACACCAAGTGCACCAAGACGTCGTACAGGGAATCATCGGTTAACTGATCAACAAGTTCACGATAAACTAAGAGCTATTGTCAGCAAAGGAGATCCTTATCAGAAATATCGTATGGTGGATAAAATTGGGCAAGGGTGAGTATCGATTGAAAAAAAATTATTTTCTATCACTTTCTTTTTTCAATGAATTATGATAATGAGTAGGTTGGTGGTGGTTGAAGGTGAAATGAAAATTTAGACCCCCGGCAGGATTCGAACCAGCGACCACTAGGTTTTTGGCAATGAGCCCTAACTGTTGACTAGATTTTTATTTCACTTTAATCGTTAAGAGTTTTTCCCGACTCTAATGTGAATTCATGATGTGTTATTATCGCTTGATCGTACTCACACTGTTTTCGCATTCAGGACTCTTCTCACTCTAATCCAAATCTACTTGTGTTTAGGAGAGTGGTGGCATCATATTGATTATCACTTTGACTATATGAGATAGCAGTGTATACCAGTATCAATATAAGTCTGCCAAAACACAGATAAATTGATGTTAGCAGTTGATGATGGTATTGAAGATATATTTACTTTGACCAAAATATTGCAATTATATCTGAAACTTCAGTCCTTTATATACTTTTTATAAACGCCTTGACTAGAGAAAACAAAATAGTATATTAAAAGTATAAATTGGGTTAATCAACGTTCAATATCTTAAATTGTATTCAGCAAAAATGGCGCGCAAATAAGGTTTGAATTTTACAATGAAAGTATATACATAACTTAGTTTTTTAGAGATTGGATATCCCTAACAAAAATATTTTGAATTTTTCGGTAGGAAGCCTTCAAATAAAACTTTATGATCGTTCTTAATTCTTAGCAAGCAGCAGTAGCTGAAATATTATATGGAATTGATAATCATTGTGACAATGAAATCCATTTTGTTTAACACAGCAGCTAAAATATTTTAACTAGACATATTAAAACATGGAGTAGCCTCTAGAAATAAGTCGATATGTGCACAAATTAGTCTATAGGTACCAGACTTTAATGCTGAGAAATTAGTTTCAGTCGATCATGTCATAACATTGTGGTCACTGTTCGACGTAACATAATAGTAATCTAACATATTTTTTTCGGTGGCTGATGGAGTTACTCACTCCATGATTTTCCTGATTTTATTGTCCAATAAGTTTACTCTTAGCACAAATTAAAACAAGAAAATATTATCAGTGAAGTTTATGAACCAGTACAGGTTTTTATACAAGCAGACTGACTATAGTACTCCAGTGTTACCTTGGTCGAACTAAATAGAGTGGAGTCTAAGCGTCAAGCCAGGGGTATGTCATGTTAGGTGAAGACTCTGACAAAATGCAGAGTCTTCTAAACGAGTTGAGCAGAAATCTGAGTATGTCTAACATACGTTTCATACCTGTCGTGAACTGTAAGATGATGCTCGAGAACTGGTCTGCAACTACTTCCAGTTTAATGACAGGAAGTGAAATGGTGGAATGCATCGACCACTTCACTTACTTGGGTAGTTGGAATAGCCCGAACAGACTGGTTGCTGATGAAATCTCAGCTTGTTTGGATACCGAAGGTCCGTTTGGCACTTGTTAATTTACGTCACGTGTGGTGCCGTTGAGATATCCGACTATCTATCAGTGGATGAATATACTGCGCTATAGTCCGTTCTGTCCTGTTGTATGGCTGTAAGACATGGCCGTTAAAAGTAGACTACATGAAGCTCTTGCAAAGTTTTGTTCATCAATATCTTCGCAGCATTACTAGCTTGTGATGAAATCACCGTATGAGGAATGTTGAGGTCAGGCGAAAAGTACTAAACAAGACAGGCAAGTCGATTGATGAGGTTGTGAACTTTTGTCGATTGTGATGGCTCGGACATGTAGTATTCATACCGAGCCACCGTCTATCTCGATGTGGCATGCTAGGGGGAACTTGGATTTGTTTGGAAGAGGGTTCAGCGTGACCGAACCAAGACATGGCACCACTCAATGAAGTCCCTAACTGTTGGCTTGAGTCGTGTAAAGAGATAAAAAGTTCCTGGTTGGGATCCCCGAGACGAAAGGAATCAGTGGTTGAGGACTGTTGGTGACATTGCTGAAAATCAGTTACAATGGCATATATGTAATTACTCCTTGACATCTTGTGAAGCTTAAATATTCACGCCAACCTTTATCTTCAGATTGTTTATTCTGTCACATAACTTTATCTACTTTGATGTCACTCCTGTTCTATCCACTTGTTCTTTGTGAAATGTGGCAACTTGAAGTGATGTACTTGTGTGCGAGGTTCTATGTTGATTTTGTCGGTCAATCAGTATAGTCAATTGATACAACTTTTCTAACATATGAATAGTGCTTGTCATATCACAATAATCAGAAAAAAATAATTTAATTTAACCTCCGACATTCCATCCATCCAAGTCAACATATGACCAGGCATTACAGCTTAACGATACGAGCTTCCATAGCTCATTTCAGTGCATCTGGTAAAAACAGTGAAGTGAAAGATGAAGAAAATAAAATTAAATCAATAGATATATGAAGTACTAAATGAGAGAAAGGAGGAATAAGAAAATGGTGAGATTCGGTATAGCATCGTTAAGATGAGGATAATGTGTGTATACATCTGAGCCAGTGATATCGATTCTGAGCTATGTAATCACCTAGAGTCAGTCTCCAACTACTAGTTTCTCTTGTCCTGCCGATCCTAACCGGCTAGTCTGCATCGCTCCTCATGACTCAAACCAACAGTCAGAGACTTCATATATTGATTCCGTGTTTTAGTTTGGCCACCTCGGGCCTTTTTCCAGCCTGGACCTACTTCAGCCAACATTGTGTGACGAGGTAGATGGTGGCTAGGTATGCATAACACGTGTCCTAACCATCTCAGTCGATGATGGTTCACAACCATTTCAACTGATTTACCTCTTCTCCCTGAAACTTTACACCTGACTTGTGCGTTACTCAATTGGTGATACCACTGAATACAGCTTATACTACGAAGGCAACGGTGGTCAAACACTTGAAGCCTTCTCATATCTTCCACCTTCAATGGCGATGTTTCACAGCCATACAGAAAAACAGAGCGGACTGCTGTGCAGTACATGCGACCCTTAATAGACAGTCGGATATCACGGCGGTGCCATAGGTAGCGTAAGGGGGCAGAAGCTAACCCAGCCGTTTGTATTCGTGCAGAGATTTCATCGTCCACTGTGATCACCACCATTGACGTACTGCAATACTATACTATTCCATACCACAATATTGTATTTTAAATTTCTCGCGTTTTACATTTTGGTTGCTCTTGCGTGTCCAAATTCGACGTAAGTTTACTTGTAACTAATCGTTTGACGCCAGAGTTGATCATTATCCAATGGCAATGTTAGGCTTGTAGTTGTAATCAGTTCAGAGTTTAAATTGTAAAGGTTTGATTCATTTACTTTTCCAACAGCATGTAACATTATCTAAGTAACGGGTAGATGCAGTGTTTTTTCATCCCATATATTATTTATGACCTATTGGTCTATGCAATTTATCTTTAGGGAGTATTACTGCAGTTAATTACACAACATAAAAATGTCATCTAATGCATAACATGGTATGTTTTAGGTATATAGGGGGTTGTATTACTAAACTTTTACCTGAGTTGTGAGTCCAACCGTTGTTCCACCCACTACGACTTGATATTTATTAACCTGTGTGTGTGTGTGTGTGTGTGTGTGTGTGTGTGTGTGTGTGTGTGTTACTGGATGTTAACGCAATGTAAATGTGAGTTCACCAATTAAAAAGAGATATTTGCATAGTTCAATTACTGTTGTATAAATTGTTGATCAGATAGTTATATCATGCAATTGGACAATTGAAGTCACGTATTATATATCTACTAGCCTAGGCCAGTGATAAGTACATTGCTTGTTTTTTGTTTACTTTTAGTGCATCTGGTGTTGTATATAGTGGATATGAAATGTCAACTGGCAATTTAGTCGCCATTAAACAAATGAATTTATCTCAACAACCTAAAAAAGAATTGATCATCAATGAAATTCTAGTCATGAAGGCTAATCGTCAAGCGAATATTGTAAATTATCTAGACAGTTACTTGGTATCTACTTCAATCTCTTCCAGTATGGATTCTCATCATATGAATAGTTCAAATGTTAAACACCAACAGAATTATAATGACAGTCTGAATTCATCAATAATTAATTCAGGCAATTCATCAAAAGGCGAAGAATTATGGGTTGTTATGGAGTATTTAGACGGAGGTTCACTTACTGATGTTGTCACAGAGACGTGTATGGAAGAAGGACATATTGCATCAATATGCAGAGAAGTGAGCTTTAACAAAACTTACTTTCATTATTGATTTTATAACTCACTACAACGGTTGCAGATCTACGAGTTATTTATTTTCGCTCTAATATTATTAGCCTTCAATGTGGCAATACTAAAAGCAGTCATCGTCGTAGTGTAAGTAGCTTACACTGTGGTGGAGTCGTACTACCAGCTCTATTGGGTGTGATAGCTGTAAAATATTCCCCGTAAACGACTAACCTTCTCTACCGATGTTGAATTCCATCTTGAAGGAATGGGCTGGAAAAATTTTTTCTTCTAGAAATACATACTTCTCTGTTATGTGGTCTTCCTGTGCTAGGGGTATGGGTTTTTTAGTATGCAGGTAGCACATTCAACTTTCCTAAATTCTTTGAAGGGCTGTATGTGATCAGTCTTAAGCACATCTGTTCGGTTCTGCTATTATGCACTCAAGCTTTAAAGTTCACTCTTACTGACCTATTTTCTTTTGCACGTATCTATGATATGAACAGCCGAGAGGTGTTAGCCACACTTTTGTAAGCGCCTAAGGACACCCTATGGATTAGTGTTATATTTTCAAAGGATGCTATATGCTATGGTCGCTAACGATGCACAGATATCGATTTTCAGAAACCAACATTCAACAAATTCCTAGTTGATTCCCGACCCGACTAATTAGTGGAGAAGACACGATGGACATGTTGAAAAACGTGTATTGTGGTCGAAAGACCGAAGCTGGATGATGGAAGAGTTATTTTTCCGAGAACAATAAATCAATCCCAAAACAGGTACATATAAGTACACATATAAAAAATGACCTTGTCCGCAATTTGAGATATTGGCATAGTAAGAGTAAAGATTAACCAATCAACGAATTACATTACAATGGGAGCAGAAAATAAACTGTTAGTCATACCGTAAAAAAATGGTGTGAGAATGCCAAGTTAAAAATGTTCAGATCAATAACAATGTTTTATGCAAAACTAAGGCTTCACAACAATTGGTAATATGTCAAATATCATCAACTGACTAGTATTTGTCTCAGGAAAATAACTTCGCAACTTTAACAAAAACTCTTCTGAAATGATCTTAAGTAGAAATAGAATATGAATATGGTTTTTTTCATGCAAGTTGGGCAACTAAGTATCGCGAAAATCTCAAAGGTGTACCAGATGAGCTTGTTATAATCTATTCTAGGTTTCCTGTGCACTGTAATCTATACACAATTAGTATTAAATTAATCTGTGCATAATTGTTCAAAGTTTTAACGATAACTAGTGATATCTACGGTTAACTGAGTACTTCACATGATACTAGTGCTGGTTAACACTTTATTCGGTGTATGTGATGACCTAAATCTGAGTATTTTAGTCTGAACGCAGGAAACGACTTAACGGAACCAAGCTAACGCAATTCAGATAAGTTACTGCATTCTATTGTATAGTTTCCAAAACTTTCTTGAGTCACGCATAGTCAAAGTTTAGGTTTCAACAACATCAAAACACACAGTTTGACGTGATAAATCTGTGATACTATTAAAACAATAACAAGTTATATCAAAATTACAAAAGTATCTAAATAGTACTACTGGCCAACTATACAGTCCTAACAAATTCGGATTAAGACTCCATCTACAAGAATCAAATCAAATCAATCAATCAACGTTTCCAGGTGACAGTTCAAAAGTGATAAGCAGTCAATTTATAGCACAACCTTCAGCTGAGTCAAACAAAAATGTTAGGAATAGTAAAACAATGCCATATTGTCAACAGTCCAACATCATACAATAGCAAAGTGGAGTATTAAAAGATTAGTCGCAATCAAAACAAAGATATGATGAGTGTTAAGTGAAAGACAATAGGCGAATAACAAAATAATATTATATTGGTTAGGGTCAAAGGATAATATCCATAATGAGGGTGAAAATATTCAAATAAATATCAAATGGAAGGCTCAGAAAGGCGTTTTCAAATCATTCATTCCCTTACAGTGTATATCATGTAATATTTGAAGTTTGAAATGTCACTTATTGAGATAGAATCTGATGACTATGAAGACTAAAATACTGATCATAGGGCCTACAGTCATGGATAACTATTAGTTAACGGCCTTAAACTAACTTGAAACAAGCTACCTGACACTGTTTAATTTTCACTGACTATCTGATAGATATTGGATGTTGCTGAAATTCACATATATGCAGAATTTTTATATCTTTGTCTTTAAAAAAAAGTAGTTTTTACAGAGAATGGTATCACAAGTTTTTTCTTTAATGGTGATGAGTTGTTAGGTAATCAAGTGGCTGGAATAAAGTATTTGTTTGTTTGTTTTTTTGTCTTCTCGTCAGATCCATTTAAAAACTACAAGACATAAAATACAGAGAGTTGAGGAACAAAAAAAATAATAAGAGTAGGCACGAAATATAAATAAGCATGCACGTGTATTCGGTGTTGTATGTTAAGAGTCCATGGACATCAAACCCTCTTTGACGAACCTCATCTTCGAGCTTGTTAACACTTATCAGCAAAATAAATGTCTCTGAAAACCTTCTTTTCCTCGAAATTTCAAACATATTATCGCTAACTACCTAATCCAGAAACTCTACTAAGATTGCCATATGTGCACGTGATGAAGTTCCATAAATATCTATCGATTGACTTCAAACATTTAACAGTGCTGTGTAACGTTGTATTCCTTAGCCCGACTGTTGTACTATTGTGAATCTGTCCAACACTTAACGGTTAAACAGTATCACTATTTTTGTGCTTTATACTTCGTTGTATTCTGAATACAGCTAGCTATATTTTGTACACAAACTTGCCTAGAAACAAGCTTTGTAGATTAAAAGATCCTATCGATGCAATTAAACAAAATAATCTGGTTTACCGAATCCCTTGCAATGATTGTGAGATAAAATACATAAGTCAAAGTAGTCGAATAAAATCAATTAGAATAACAGAACACAAAAACTTGACTAAATCAAGATTAGTAGATCCTAATAAGATAAGAAATTTAGCGAAAAGCTCGGCTATAACTCTGCACACAATCACACATTAGGGTAGGATGGGGCGACAGTGTTGAAAACTAACTTAGTTGGATGAAGGGAGAGATTGATAACCGAGTCTTTGTTTATCGAATCAACAACAAACACATCCAATCGAAATGATTCTGCACTTGTCCTAGATGTATGGAAAATTCTACTAGCGTTGTCATCACAGAGAAGGAGAGAAAATTAGGACTACATAAACTCTGTCTCGAAGTTGTGAAGTTACCTGATATGAATATGGACACTAAATGAATTATGTCCGAGACGTTATCCAGTAAATGATACTGTTTCTTCACTGTGTGATATTTATAATGGACAGACTAAAGTGGAATTACACTCGACGACAGTGCCCAAGTTTTACACCTACTTTATGCATCTTTATTGATTTAAATTACTGAAGTTAATACGCTGAGACTTCCTCAAGGGGGTGGGATTAGATGGGTGCCAGGGGGGGGGGGGAAGCAATAATAACTTTTGAAACAGTAACACGACATCTGTCATTTACAGACAGACGAGTAGGGTAACTTGATATTTATACATCCTTTAGCTTTCTCATGGAATAGAACTAGAAATTTGTTATTTTCCCATTGTTAATGTCATTTCAGCTGATGACAATATCCACTTATTTCCTAGTACACTTGCATCCTTCCAAGGTAAAGTATATACAGTGTTTAGTCGATTTAGTACTACTAGAGTCTACTTATTAATATTACTAACCTTGTCATAAGTTTTTTTTCCTCATCCCTCCTCCAACTTTTGGTTAAACTATATTTATCTATGGGAAGAAATAGAAATAATCTATTGCGGGATTGGTCAGTATTCTTCCCCAATTGTAAACTATTCTCCAATATTCAAGTTGTTATTTTCTAGGCATCAGATAGGAGAGAGAGAGAAAGAGAGAGTTTTCATGAATCGATACAATCTTGTCTCTATCCACTTCATTTCCATATTAATAGTGTGTCTATACAGCGATTACCTAATTTAAACTAGCTGAGTTTTTTTTGTCATATCTGTTAGTCTTATGTCGATAAATATTTCTAGTCTAGATAACAGCAATACCTCTGTTTATTTCCTTTTTTTGTAGTTTCCAGTTTTGGGATTTTCTGTTATCATCATTATCCACCTCTACTAAATGGTTCACACGTTTGATCGTTTTTTGATTTCCTTCCACTCAATTTTTACGTGAATATGATGGTAGGCTAACTTGATTGTCGGTTTCTCTTCTACATTTTACTCATTCTGTATGGATGTTAGTTGGTTAGAAGCAATCACCAGGAATCCTTCTTCAACCTAGGTTATTTTGTGCTTGTTGGCACTTGTCAGAAAGGTATATCCACAACTTTGAGAGCAATGATGCCCCCCTCTGGGATTTGAACCCCTTGTCACTCAGTGCTGCAATAATCAGCGACGTTACCATTGGCCAATTAATTTACCTAATCCTGTGTTGAAGGAGGTCAATCGTGACCTGAATAGCCCAGTGGTAACATCTCTGACCGCAACTCTGGGTGATGCCGGTTCGAATCTTAGACGGTTACAGATACGCCTTACTGACAAGTGCCAACAAGCAGGGAACCTAGGTCAAACACAGCTTCTTGCCGATTGCCTCCATTTAACTAACGTCTGTCCAAGTGAACCGCAGTTCTGAGCCTCTTAATTTGGTGGCCACATTGCACAAGGATTGAAAGAATTTGATTAGTACTTATTACTAGATAGCATGAAATTGGTTACTCTCCAGTAACCAGTCAATACACTCATTCTGTATCTCCAGAAAAGTTGTTGTTACTCTGGTTATTCATAGGATTATGCAGGATAACAGACATTGAGAGGCGTCGATATTCATTGAAGAAAGGAGGAATATGTGACTAACATCATAATCCATCTTAATCCACATCAATAGTAATTGTTACTTATTATTGTTCCTTTGGATTCCTCCATGTTACCCTCAGCTCACGCCCAACTAGTCGGTTCTAATTTCAGTTCCACTCGATGGCCTGGTCTAGCCAGGCACGTGATGTCCCAAAACGGTCTTCTCAGTGTATGTCCAATCCAATCCATCACTTTCATCTGCATATTTGTTGGGCGATAGGTTGTTGATTGGTTGGTTCGTTGCGAGGCTAGCCAGAGTTCCTCCTTGCTTATTCCTATTATTCTGGCCATTTGATCTCCATCTTGGGTATCAAATGGGTGCAGGTGGCAGGTGTTGTTGATGTATGTTTTTAGTTTGTTTGAAATGCTTTTCGTAACGCACGAAGTCGGAAGCATGACATAGAAGCACTGACTTACTTGAGTGAATTAGTGTTGAAAATCGGGCTGTTGTTAATGCTTTATGCTGAGTGCAGTGCAGTGGAGTGGAGTGGAGCGCAGTAGATCTCCACACTGATTTCAGGTTAATGGAAATTGTGAACCACCGGAAACCGACCCAGTGGCTGAATGGTTAACGCGTTCACCGTGAAATCTGAAGGTCCTGAGTTCAATCCCTAGCCGAGTCGTGGGTGCGTACTGCTGAGGAGCCCCATACTGGGACGAAACAGCTTTCCAGTGCTCCCAGACTTTCAATGGCTCCCCAACTGATGTCAGTCCATGATGAATACTACTTCTAAATCATCCTTATCAAAACATCTACACATAAGCCTATTCTGTCAAAATCAGTAGACAACGGGAAATAATAAGTTAAGATGTCGAATTTGTTGTTGTTACTGCCTATCTGATGTTACTGAATTACTACTCTGTTTCACCTTTCCTTATTTTCTATATATCTTTTGTCTTTTGTTCAACAGACTAGAATTATGTATATTTTATTGAAGCACAACTTCTTCCTTTTAAAGTGGTTACTTTCATCGTGTATTATTTGTTTTTCTATAAGTACATTAAGGAGATATAAGCAGTTAAGTTTCCTGATAGCTTTTCGCACCTTCCCCTCGATATAATGAGAGAAAAGATGATAATGTTGATGATGAAAAATCCATTTTTTCTGCCAAGTGTGCAAACATAAAAACAAGTTGAAAGTTTTGCTCTACATTGGAAATCGTCATCTTCCCTCCTTTCAAGTTGATGAACATGTTATTATTATTTGTCCCTTGGGTTCCTAGTGAAACATAGGGTTTCAGTAGCACGTCTTCATTTCACTCTCTTCTCTCCAGTCTTTTGAACCTGGATCCATTAATGCTCACAAGCTTTTATTTCTCCCTCACACGGTCTCCTCCATGTCACCCTTGACTCATGCGCCCAACTCGTCTTTTTCCCCTTTGGATTCCACTCTAGTGCCTGGCGCGTGGTGTCCGAATGGTTTTCTCAGTATATGCCTTATCGATGTCCACTTTCTGCATATTTGTTGGGCGATAGGTTTTTGGTTGGTTCGTTGACAGGCAAAGTTCCTTGTTGCTTATTCTTTCTGGTCATCTGATCTTCAGTATTGAGCGAGCATAGGTGGTAGCTGTTGATGAATGTCTGTAGTTTGTTGGAAATGCTTTTCTTGACGCACCAAGTTTCTGAACCATATAGATGCACTGACTTGAAGTTGGTATTGAAAATCCGGATCCGGAACATATATTCACTTATATTTCCAATTCATTTGTATTTATTATTATTATTATGATTATTGTCTGATGATCTTTTGTTCACTAGACGAAAGAAATTAAGCATATACAACAATCAGTTCAGTATGATCACGCTGATGTTACCTTTTTTTCCAGAGGTGGTTACTGTTGGCTTATACGTTGAAAATGCTATACTTATTATTTGAAATTATTTGGTGAAGTTGTCATTGAAGTACCTTCTTTCAGCAGTGGTAAACCAGAGGTAGTGTTAGGAATATTTCCCTTTTCTTTCTTTTTCTACTCCCTTCTATCTGTCTTTGTTCAAATTTTCCATCATTATATTTCTGAGACGTATACTTCCCCCTCTAACAGTTTGACAATGATTTGATTGCGGTCTTTAAAGTTGTAAAAATCAATGGAGGATCACAGAATTTCGTTGATAACTATTTTAAATATCTTACTACTTTTCACTTTAATGTCACTACTACTAGTCATTTTTCTCTTTTTTTTATACTGTTGCATTACTCTGTGCTGTGCTGTGTTGTACGCTGTGTTGCATTTGTCTGTTGTTGTACATCGATTTCATATAGATTGTATAGTTAATTATTATATTCTGCCTTCTTTTCACCTTCAATTATCACCGGTGTGTCATAAATATAAAAGTACAAATGGGACATTATTGTAGAGCATATTAGCGTATTTCTTTAAAACACGACAATACAATGTGGTATAATTTAAATCTTATTATCAAATAAACAACTCCAACATTGAAGTACATTTCACTTATATTGAATTGAATTCTTATGTGATACTATTTGTTTTGAAAAACAGAAACCTATAATGTTATTTATTGGCTTTGTTGCAAATATTTAACATATTCAGAACAGTGTTCATGACTTCATCGAGTAAGCAGAAGTGTACAATACTGAATTTCTATCCTGCTGTACGACTGTGAAACATGGTCGTTCAGTGTAAGAGACTTGAAACAGTTACAGTTTTTTGACCATAGGTGTCTTCGTAGCATTGGTCGCATGTGGTGGAATCATCATGTGAGTAATGTTGAGACAGACAAGTCGACTGATGAGGTTGTGAACCTTAGTCGACTGAGGTGGCTTGGGCATGTGTTGCGGATGCCGAGCCACTACCGCCTACCTCGACGTGCTATGCTAGAGAAAATTGAATTGGGTTGGGAAAGGATTCCACGTGACCAGACCAAGACCTGGCATCAGTCGACGGAATCCCTGACCGTTGGCTTGAGTCGTGTGCAGAAATATAGAGTTCTTGGTTGGAGTGCTGGAGACAAAAGGAACCAGTAAGTAGTTAAGGACACTTGGTGACATGGTTGGAAATCAGTCACAATGTCGCAGAAGTATTCACTGCTGTGAAGCTTGAATATTCAGATTGTTTATTCGCTCACACTAAGTTATCTTCTTTGATGTTACTCTTTTTATTCCACCTGTTCTTTGTGTACTACTGTGAAGTGTAGGAAGTTGAGCTGATGCACTCCTATGTGTAAGGTTCTTCGTTAATTTTATCAGTCAACATGATGTTGAATAGATAACCTATTAGTGGTGTCAACACCTTGCATAGTCTTAATTTTGTTTCAATTAACAGGGATAAAGTTGGATTAATTATGATGATAATAATAATGCTGACTTATCAGATTGACAGTGAGCATTATTTTTGCATAGAACCTCTATATAATTATGATAACCGCCTATATCTCTACCAGCATTAGAATTATTGATATGTTAATTTGTGACTTGTTTTTATTCTCTTTAAGGTGAACTCATTACTTTTGTCTTCAATTGTTACCATTGAATTTCATAGGAGACTATGTATCATATTTCTATCGGATGTATGTGAGTGTGTTTACGGGGGGTGGGGGGGGGCGGAGAGGTTATTCTCTGTAAAATTCACAAATATTATTCTTCAAAGCGGAAATATGGTATGGGGATAACATATGGTTAAATATATCGTTGAAGTCATTCGTTGTACCTTGAAGAGAGTTCGTTGATTTCAATGAGATAAAAGGGTACCTATATACAAATCTTTTCTTCTATCATCTTCTACACAATATGTATACAGTTTATGTTATCAAAATAATAATAGTGGCTTAAGTCGAAGGTATAACCGACCGACTGACTGACTAACAACAGATAACCATTTTTGATATTCTATAGGGAACTCTTTCAATACAAAAAGAAATAACTTGTCACAACATATTGGTTACAAGGAATGTATACCGTATGTTTCTACAGTCCATTGCCTGTACAGTATTGTTGTATGCATACTTATGTAACCAGTGTGGTTTTAGTTGGTTTACTAACACAACCATTACTACCCTGTAAATAAGTACATTAATACAAGTGTCACATTTTAATGATTGTTTCTTCTTATGTTTTTCTCTCTATTTACCATTTTTGTACACATACATTCTACTCACTATTCAATAGTAGTTGATTTCTGTTCTTTCTTTATTGTGTTAATTTCTTATATAAAACGTGTTTATAATTCATTAGCTTTCACGATATAAAAATGTTTCAACTTGATTCAACTAAGAAGTAAGAGCGTATATTGTCTCAATGCTTATTCATCGAGTTAAGTTAAGCAGAGCTATATTCAGTGTGTTCAAAGTACAGAACTGTTATAAGTCGATATTTTTTGGCGGTTAAAATGAGAATTAGTTGAACGGAAGATAACTTTGAGTACTATGAAGGTCATTCAATAAAAGTTGTTGAAGAATAGAGCATTATTTCAAGTTATTATTCATCGTAGACTGACATCAGTTGGAGGAACAAGGGAAACCTGCGAGCACTGGACAGCTGTTTCGTCGTAGTATGGGATTCCCCAGCAGTGCGCACCCACGACCCCACCAGGAATCAAACCTGCGATCTTCAGGTTTGGTGGCCAGCACGTTACCATTGAGCTACTGGGTCAGAATCCAATGCTCCATATTTCCCTCAAAAATAGAACATTAATTTCATGTCAGTCGAAAGTTGTTCATCCATTATTATTATTATTTGTCCCTTAGGTTCCTAGTGGAGCACAGGGTTTCAGTAGCACGTCGCCATTTCACTCTCCTCTCTGAAGTCTTTTCAACCTGGCTCCACGATTGCCTCCAAGCTTTCATTTCTTCCTCACACTATCTCCTCATTGCCTATTGCATGAAAGGGTACAATGTTGGTGGATAGGTTTCGATTTGATGTTTATTTCTCGGGCTCTCCTCCTTTGTTACTAATTCAATTCAACATTAAAGTAATGCATATATTACAACTTTTCTTTATTACCTATATAGATTCTATGTGCACTTGAATTTCTACATGCAAATCGTGTAATTCATCGTGATATCAAATCAGATAATATTCTTCTCGGTATGGATGGATCTGTAAAACTTACTGATTTTGGATTTTGTGCACAATTAAGTAATGATGGAACAAAGCGTTCAACTATGGTTGGTACACCATATTGGATGGCACCAGAAGTTGTTCTACGTAAACAATATGGTCCAAAAGTGGATATATGGTCGTTAGGAATTATGGCTATTGAAATGGTTGATGGTGAACCGCCTTATCTAAATGAAAATCCTGTTCGAGTAAGAATTGTCTAATTTTTTTTTTAGCACCACCTTTATGTAATAGAAATTCCCTTTGAAACAAAGCTTAGTACTGTTTATGCCCTTTCTGAGGTGGATATTTGAATTACGCTGATATTCATTGTCATTCTGATAAGATTATCAACACAAAATTCACAAAGAAATAAGCAAAACGACCAACTAATCACAAATCAAATTAGAACAAACTACTAAATAGCATGTAAAAAAGCTGTAATAAGTTATTTCTTTTTGTTATTTATGCTGATCATATTGTCTAGAATGATGGTTAAGCCATTCAATAACAGTGAAGGTAGTACTAACAAAACTTTACTTTATTCCTCTTTAACTGTAAAAAATCAACCAATTCATAATGATTTCCTGAGATTCACTTTAAAGATAGTTAAAGACCTATCTGCCTGTAAACATCCACCAATTTAGAGGCAGGTATACTCACATACCTACATATGAAAACGCATATGCATTAATTTCAGTTGTCAAGATGTGATATAGTCTCTAGTTCTTGATACTAGGTGATGATCGAAGGTGAAGTGAAAATCTAAACCGCAGAAGGATTTGAACCAGCGATCTCTGGGTTTCCCGCCCGATGCTGAACTACCGGGACCCAACTAACTACTGATCAGATCTTAATTTCACTTAAATCATTAACGAAACTCACTCAGTTACCTTGTACGTATTCGTACTGTAGGCGATGAGCCGCACCTAATGTGTGAGGTCGATTGATACTACCTGGTTACCCAAACCTCAGTAGGTGGAGCGGGGCCCGAACCCATGACTCAATGGTTAGTAGCCATCTCCATAAGCCATTTAACCACAGCTCCACTATCAATCCTCAAAGGTTTCGTCAATATATGCTAACTTCAAGAGGAAATTACTTTTCATTAACTGAGTTCCGACAAAATGTGTAGGGAGCGATTCTCTCTACCTTTCCGTCTTATCCTTTGGATTATGTGTTTATGGGCTAAACAGACCAGATATTTTCGCTGAAGTACAGAGAAACCTGTAGAAGAATAGCATATAAACTTCTGTAATTGGGACGAAAGGGACTGAGCCACCTCGTACACATCTGTGCAGTAGGCAATGAGCCACACCGATTGTGTGAGGGTTAGTAGTGCTATATGGTTGCTGAATCTCGGTAGGTGGGGCGCGGTTCGAACCCCTGACCTAATGGTTGGTAGTTATCTCTCTAAACCATTGAACCACAGCTCATCAGACTTCTATACGCGGGACCGGCCGCTTCAAACGCCATAGAAGAATGATGTCCAAAATCATGTATTTAACGCTTATATCATCCCGCTAACATTTATTCTTTTGTTACTGCTTGTGTTATACTGTTGTTGGTTGAATCGAATTGATCGGCCACTATTGGTATATGAGCTTCTACGCGGATGCCTCGATATTGCCTGTGTTTTAATGATATGTGGCAATGATGGATGTATGCCATATGCCAATAGAGACCGATCGATTCGGTCCAATAAACGATGATGTAATACAAGCAATAACCTTGAAACTATATCCGTTGCACAAGAAGTGGCTATAGTCGCTCAGTGGTCTAGTGGATAACGCTCTGGCGTTTGAAGCGATCAATCCCGAGTTTGAATCTCGGTGGGAACAACATCACTGACTGGGAGGCAGGCACATCCAGTTGACGAGTCCCAAACAGGACGAAATGCGCATCGTGGATTCCACCACCAGCCACTACCCATCTTTACTATACATACTTTATCCTTTTACTTTGACTCATCTGGTGGGTGTTTAATGATTTTGATGTTGTACTTCAGTATCGTTTTGTTATCTAAGTAAGTTTGATATTTAAATTATATTAAAGTTACTGTATCTAACGATCTATTATTACCGTTTATTGACGTGCATATCTGCTTGCTTCAAAACATTTCAGGCTCTATATCTAATTGCTACTAATGGTAAACCGGAAATTAAAGAACGAGATCGTTTATCCAGTACATTTCTTAATTTTCTTGATCGTTGCTTAGAAGTGGACGTTGAACAAAGAGCTACAGCAACTGAATTATTACAAGTAAGTTGGAATGTTTTCAGTTTTACTTTCGTTTATCTAACTTTATTTATTTATTGACTTACTTACTTACTTACTTACTTACTTACTTACTTACTTACTTACTTACTTACTTACTTACTTACTTACTTACTTACTTACTTACTTACTTACTTACTTACTTACTTACTTACTTACTTACTTACTTACTTACTTACTTACTTACTTACTTACTTACTTACTTACTTACTTACTTACTTACTTACTTACTTACTTACTTACTTACTTACTTACTTACTTACTTACTTACTTACTTACTTACTTACTTACTTACTTACTTACTTACTTACTTACTTACTTACTTACTTACTTACTTACTTACTTACTTACTTACTTACTTACTTACTTACTTACTTACTTACTTACTTACTTACTTACTTACTTACTTACTTACTTACTTACTTACTTACTTACTTACTTACTTACTTACTTACTTACTTACTTACTTACTTACTTACTTACTTACTTACTTACTTACTTACTTACTTACTTACTTACTTACTTACTTACTTACTTACTTACTTACTTACTTACTTACTTACTTACTTACTTACTTACTTACTTACTTACTTACTTACTTACACACTTACACACTTACACACTTACACACTTACTTTTTAAGTGAAGGGATTCTTCATTTTCGGGGATATACGATAAATGTATGCAGTGTACAAATTGATATACCATGAATATTTTTTAAAAACTAAATTAAGTGATTCATGGGATAATAGAAAACTTTTCAGTCATGCACTAAAACAAAATTAAATAAACTTTTTAAAGATTTCAATGTCATTATTTGGCCATGTGTTGTAGACGTCATGGACTGGACTATCGTTTAGAATGATTTCTTTCTGAAAAATAAAATTTTCAAGTATTTATTATCAGTGTGGAACCAAAGGCACGTGCGTTTCATTCTATTTCGGACTTGTCAGCTGGATGAACTTGCATCCCCATAACACCCGATAACATCTTGTTTTTGTGTATTTCATAAAGCGACAGTCAACGGATAAGCTTAATTGTATGTTTCATCTTAAAGAGAATATTTTGACCAAAAACCTTTCTTAAATTTTGAGGTTTGTAGGGATTTATTTATTGACTTCAGGTTAGTATTCATTATGAAATGACATCAGTTGGAGAATTATTGGAAAATATGGGAGCACTGAACAGCTGTTTCCTCCTAGTATGCAAGTCCTCAGCAGTACGTATTCAGAACCTTGAGGTTCCGCGACCAACACGTTACTATTGAGATACTGGGTTGAATCCAATGGTCCGTATTTCCTACTTCTATCACTTTACTATCTAGTGCGACCTCCATCGAATGCCGTCGTTGAGTAACTGCCCTCATGTCGGACTTGGTGTGCCCTACAGATCATGGTTTCTGATAAGAACTTCAGGAATTACATCGTTAAGTGAGTCATCAATAGGTGGATAAATCCCACCAACTTCCAAATTGAATTATTCTCCGGTATGTTTGAATAAGCAACAAGGAAGTCTCAGAACGAACCAACCAAGAAATTATCGCTCAACAAATATGCAGAAGGAAGTCGAGATGGATTCCATTGGATTGGATATACACTGAGAAGACCATTTGGGGACATCATGCGTCAGGCACTCGAGTGGAACCCGGGTGGGAAACGACGAGTTGGGCGTCAGAGGTGAGAGTGAGATGGAGAAGATGGTATGAGGAATAAATGAGAGCTTGTGGGGCAGTTGTGGAGCCAGGTTCAAAAGATTGTGGAGAACAGAGTAGAATAAAGACGTGCTACTGAAGCCGTATGTTCCACTAGGAACCCAAGGGAGAAATAATAAATAGTAGTAATGTTTGATCGTAAACAGGAGGAGTATTTTGACCAAGAAGCTTTGTGTACCAATCCCTTAGATGATACAAGTTTACTATTCGATAATATTTATATACTGAAGATATATTCTTGTGTTTTTACTTCATTTTATTTTTACAGCATCCGTTTATATGTCGATGTGCTAAACCTCTGAGTTCTTTAGTTCCATTGATCAATTTAGCCAGAGAACAAAGTAACCGTCGTTTTATTAGATAAACAAGAAGAAGAAGAAGAAGAAAAGTTGTAAACCAATACATTTGTGTATATTATTCATATATGTTGCTGTTAATCTCTATACATCTATACTTTACTTTACAATTGAGCACACCAACCATTAATAATACAATATGACTTGAATACATTTTAAATGATGTACACATAAAGGTGAAATTGTCTAATCAATTTTAACCTCTATATGGTTCTTTCTTTATAAGTTTTTTTTTAAAAAAAAAGTTTATTTTAATCTGCGTTTATTTCTTGCAAGTCGTAATCATTTCTCATTATATATATTTTTTCTAAATATTATAAACACATCAACTCTTTGTACATTTCAAATTGTATCTTTACTGCAAATTGAGGTGTGTGTGTGTGTGTACTTGACACCTTTTTTTATATTATTCCTTTCTCTGTTTGTTTTTATTCCACTTGACGCTAATTATTCTCTAATTTTATATTCCCCTATATTATTTGTTTTAATGTGTGAGTAGAAAAAGAATGATCTGTAAAATTGTATGAGATCAGATACACCTTGAAGAATACAAATTATGCCTGTTCAACTATTGTCAACCAATGAAATCAGTATAATTCAAATACCATACTATTGGTTATCACAGCAGTTTTTAATTTATTAAATGGGTTCAGTTAGAAATTCACCTTTTTTTTTCTTCATCTTTATGACTCATTGTTGTGAAGTTTCAGTATTGTTCATTTTTAACTGAAAATTTAACATGGATATTTTTCAATCGATTTATATAATAATATGTGGTAGGTAAACTCTTATGTTATTGCTTTACTACTACTACCACTACTACTACTACTGCTACTATTTACGTTTGATTTGTATTCTTTTAAGTTGATGAAGGTGTTCAATTGGTTCGTCTTGTTTTCTTAAATATCTTCAGGTTTTTGTCATTATTCATGATTATACAAAAATGTGAAAGTGATAGTGGAATTAAAATATTTTTTTGTGAAAAAAAAAGAGAAAGCAAAAAAGAAAAAAATACTTAAGCGCCTATAATAAAAGGGGAAAAAAAAGGAATTAATGACAATATTTTTAAAGAAAATTTCAATTATTCTTATACTTCTGTTTATTTTCAAACTTTTTAAAGGTATTGAACATTTATCCACCTAGTCAAGTTAATAGTCATCATATTTTTCAATGTTTCATGGGTCCCCCGTTTATTTATCTCTTTTTATTTTCTTGTATTTTATCATTGTTATACACATCTAAAAGCATCTTATTGAATCTCATCATTCCGTGTGTTATCATTAATTTCTTGCTTCAAGCCTATTTGTCATCTAAATCATTTGTAAACATTGTGTCAAACTTACCACTACCACAACCACCACCAATAATTGTGTGCCATTAGGACTTTCATGCATTTGTGTGTGTGTGTGTGTGTTGTCTGCATTACGCTGTTCACCTTTTCTTTGTCAATTTAAAGCTTCATATATATAAGTATTCCCTTGCATATTTTCAACTGATTTTACTAATCATGTCTTGTTATGTTAGGTAGTAGTAGTAGCAGTAGTATGTAGGTAGATATGTGACAAATCGTCATCTTTCTGCGTTAGGTAATCGTTTTTTTTTTCAAAAAAAATGTTTCCCGGTTTAGTTACTTGTTTTTATTAAATTTATTTATTATTCAGACAAACTGTAGGGTGTTTGTCATCCTTCTTCGCCCTTTTTTTAATCTCTCTCTCTTTCTCTCTCAATATTGAATAGGCTTTAATCTCGAATTAAATAAACTAATGTAAAACTTTTACACTTCTCCACTCTGAAGTTTTATTCTTTTGATGTTTTCTATCGGATAGATAGTTGATAGGTCTGTCTGTCCGGTGGGTAGTTTTTCATGTTATCATCATCATCATTACCACTGTCTTCTGATCTTTGTCAATTCTATAAGCGATAGAAAATGACTGCATTATGTTTTATTCTTTGGGATTCACTTCATCAACATACCTATATTGATCTGTGTTTGTGTGGGCTTCAAAAGGGGTACTCGTTTTCTTTAACCCTATTGACTACATTGGATTTTAGTGTTTCTGGTTTCCTCTCCTCTTCATTCGCTTTGATATCTTGCTTATTACATGATTTTATTGTATGTAAAACACTTTTCTCCGCACTATATTACATCTTCAATAAAGAATGATGATAGGGGGTGTATAATGATTATTTATGCATATTCTTCATCTGGCTTCCTTTACCTCGATTCATATTTTTTTGTCCAATGCTTATCATCATATGCAGTTGTGTGTGTGATTAGGAGTCATTTGAATAAGAAGTTTCAAAGAGTCTTGCTTATTCCTCTTTCTTTCCTTTTTTTTTAATCCCCCCCATCCCCATTTTATTGCTATTAGTAATTTCTTAGTGTGTAAAAACAAAAAGGCGATGATTATTGTTCTCCTTTCTGTCGTTGATGTTGCCTGATATTGTTTTTTTTCTCTGTTCCGATTTATCATTCTGTTTATTTACTCTTGCAATTATGCATATTCATATATACATACATTAAAAAAATTACTTACTAAAAATTGCTAATTTTCTCAATCGTCAACATTATCATCGCCTACAGGTGGCTAGTGTTTGTTTGTTATTCTAAGTGATCTGTCTACGCCGAATAGGTGAGACTTCTCAAGCGATAATTGGAGAGAGGGGCATATGTAGCTCAATATGTGCAAACTTCCAGTTGCCTATAAATGATAATATAGATATAACTGACGCCCTTACTGGGAGGTCTGTTTCACCCTTTAGTAATAACAGAAACAGTTTATTCAATTCATTGGGCATTGCTGATAAAAATGGATATAAGTAGTACGTGTTGAGGGCGGCAGAAATCATAGGGAATTACCAGCAGTGGGCAAGGATTCTGCTCAGAGAAACGCAAGAGACAATACGGGCGTATGAAGAACAAATCAAGAGAGAAGCAAATGACTGTCTTAGTGCAAAGTGTACCAATATTTAACGACTACTGTACCGCATGTTAATAATGAACATTTTTTTCCCTCATCTCTGTCTTCTTGTTTCCTTTCACTAGTAGAAGCAGATACGTTAGCATGCATACAGAATTTATGCATAGTTCATGGTATTGTTAAACATTTAAAGTATCGCCTGCTAATTAATTCTTAAAGGTGATCGACGTTTGTTCATTACTAACATGAAATGGATCTTTTAACCTATTATTCATTAATGTTTACATAATGAATATACTTTGTCAGATTTTAATTTCAAAGGATTTTCAACTCCTTACTCCAAGGTGAGAAATCAAAAAGTTTTCAAAAATAACAGGATGAATTTCATTGTTGATTCAGGTGAACAGAATAACAAGTAAGAAATCCCACACGTGAATTCTTCTCATTATATTATTATTTGTCCCTTGGGTTCCTATTGGAACATACGGCTTCTGCAGCATGCCTCCATTTCACTCTCTTCTCTGCAATCTTTTCAACCTAGCTCCACAAGCTCTCATTTATTCCTCACACCATCTCCTCCATCTCACACTCACCTCTGACGCCCAACTCGTCGTTTCCCATCTGGGTTCCACTCGAGTGCCTGTCGCGTGACGTCCCCGAACAGTCTTCTCAGTGTATATCCAATCCAATGGAATCCATCTCGGCTTCCTTCTGCATATTTGTTGAGCGATAGGTTCTTGGTCGGTTCGTTGCCAGCCAGCCAGACTTCCTTGTTGCTTATTATTTCTGGCAATCCATGTGAGCTTCAGTAACGAGTCAGCGTAGGTAGATGTTGATGAATATCTGTAGTTTGTTGGAAATGCTTTTCATAACGCGCCAAGTTTCTGAACCATCACATAGAAGCACTGACTTCACTGTATTGGTGTTGAAAATCCGGATGTTGTTCACACTTTGTGGTGAGTGTAGAAGATCTCCACACTGGTTTCAGGTTGATGAACGGCAGTCTTGCTGTGTTTCCAATCCTGGCTGGCTTTGACGTCCTCGTGTGTGCCTGTGGCACCTGTAGTTGAGAGGATGCTGCCTAGGTGGGTAGGTGAAAGAGGCTATTTCCTTTAAGTTTCTCCCGTTGGTGGTGGCGTTCACTTGAAGTCCCGTCTTCGCTGCCTTTCCCCTTTCTGTCAACTTGATAGTTTTCGCCTGTAGATTTTCGAGTATGTGCGGCACTAGGCACAAGTCATCAATGGAATCCAAATCTTGTAGGATTTTTTCCCCGTCCCAGCGTATCCCCCTCTTGTCGCTCCTCACTGTTTGTTGCATGATCCAGTCGACTGCAATCAGGAAGATCATGGGTGTTAGTAGACAGCCTTGTCTTACTTCTGTCTTCACTTCAAAGGCGTCACTGAGCTTCCCATTGTGAATCACTTGGCATGTGGCATCTTCATATAGTTGTTGAATGAGGTTGATAAAGACTTGTAGGACTCCGCAGTGTTGAAGCAGTTGCCTATTTGTGTATTAAATTTTTCCCATTATAACAGGTGTGAGATATGCCCGTCGAAGGTAGATATCGAGAGATATAAGTTTTTGAACACTAATATCTTCGTAGCATTGCTGACTTACGATTGAATCACCATGTGAACAATGTCGAGGTTAAGCGAAGCGTACTAGACAAATTGATTGATGAGGTTATGAATCTTCAGCAACTGAGATGGCTTGGATGTGCTACATATGCTGAGTCATCGCCTGCAATGTTATACGAAGTAGGATTCAGTTGGAATAAGACTCAGGATGGTCAAGTGAAGATGTACTATTAGTCTCTGGCTGTGACATAGATGTATAAACTTTTCAATATCTTAACTCTGAATATTTTCACTAAGCATGATTTTCAAATTCCTTCTCCTTTCATACGTCTTCGTTCCTTACCTTCTACTGTGAATTGTAACGCTTTGAACCGATGCACTTCTGTAAGAGATTTAACGTTGATTTCATTTGTCTATCTCATTTCTTCTTCCATGTTTATAATAGAATGAAATCAGTATGATTTCATAATAACTGAATACGAAAACCTTGTAAAATAGCATTTAGATTTAAAATTGCTGGGATTTGATGAATAATAAAAATCATATTATGCCATTGAACACAAACGCTTGTTTAAATGCCATACTGTATAGTTTTGTAAGATTGTGATTTTCCTTCCTTTTGAGTTGAATCCTGCTGTTATGATCCTGCAGGAGGAGATTGGTTCCCATTACCTGAGAGCCTTTGATGCTCTTGAGGATATCATAATAGCCACTCCAAAACCCAGTGTGCTCCTGGTTTTCGTTTGGGTGACGATACCGGAGTAGATTATTGACTCTGCAATTGACAGTTTGGAGAGTCCGCTTCCATTCCATCTGCAGATTCCTAGGACTTTTATGCTCTATACCTTCTCATCCCTTTTGCAATTTCGGCAGCCTTGCTAGCTTCAAACATTGTGCGGACATTGCATGTTCCTATCCTTACTTTCGCTTTCATCGAGAGAAGTAAGACAGGCCTTCATTAATCTGAAATCAGTGTAGAGATCCATTGCACTCCACTCAGTATAAAACACGAACGACATCCCGATTTCCAACACTAATTCACTCAAGTAAATCAGTGATGGTTGAGAGACTTGACACGTTATGAAAGGCATTTCAAACAAACTGCAGACATGCATCAACACTTGCCATCTACGCTCACCCGATACTGAAGATGGAGATCAACTAGCCAGAATAACAAGAATAAGCAAGGAGGAAGTCTGGCTGGTCACGCAACGAACCAACCAACCAACAACCTATCACCCAACAAATATGCAGGCGAGAGTGGAGATGGATTGGATTGGAGTGGAGTGGACATACACTGAGAAGACAGACCATTTGGGGGTATCGCGCGCCAGACCAGTTGAGGCCAAGCTCTGTAGTGGAAGTCAAAGAGGAAACGAGGAGTTGGGTGTTTGAGGTGAGGGTGAGATGGAGGAGATGGTGTGATGAAGAAATGAAAGCTTGTGGGCAGTTGTGGAGTGATTTTGAAAAGACTGGAGAGAAGAGAGTGAAATGGTGACGTGCTAGTGAATCTGTCTGTATGTTCCACTAGGAACCCAAGGGACAAATAATGATGATAATAGTAATAGTTTTGTAACCGATATCGAATATAGACGGAAAAGTCAGTTAAATTTTGAAAGTAACAAAAAACATTGATATAAATCTGAACCTAAAGAATAAAAATGTTGTAAGCTACTAAGGCTAAACAAATGGAAGCGGCAAAAATATTTCCGTAAATAAGGTCTGGCTTTAAAGGCCACCCTAGTGACTACTAAATTAATGAATGAAATGTCAGAATTTTGCCTGGAAGGATGGTTTTTCATAGAATTGAGGAACCTGATTGGTCATTTCAACAGTTACTACTAAGTTGGGCCTTTTAAAGTCACCCTAGTTAAGACACAGAAAAACGACATGTTTAAAGATCAGTTTTTTTTCAAAAAATCAATCACTAGTTTCACCTTAAATCAATACACAACTCAATGGGAATTATGATTTCATCGATATAATAATGCAAGTTATGTAACTGTGACGTAGTTGCTGATTTTATAATTAAATCAGCCAACAGTAAAAGAAAACCCGTTAACTGTGATTGTATATCAGACAAATAAAGAGTAATAATTTCGGGGCATTATGTTTTAAATAGTTAGCGAATTGTATATAGTCAAAAACAGAAGTAATAGTATATATACCTAGACTAACTGCACATTTCATCTAAACACCGATAAAATAGGGTAGAAAATAAAGTAGCATACCTGGAGATCGAAGTGAATGAGATAAATAGACATCGTCTTCTTCAAATGATATTTAAGTAGGGAAATATTCTGTTCAACAGAATATTTTCAACTTGGACTTCACGTTTCTTACGAGATAATAACAATGGTAATCGCCTGATTCCAAACAATATGTATGACAGTATAGAATTCTCAGCATACAATTCTTCAACAATCTCACTCCCACAACGATACTTTCAGACTAAATGGTTATTGTATCCGAATAATGTTAATAATAACAGTATTCAAGGCAATAAGGTTAAATAGGCAGCAATTTCTGGATGTGCATTCTGTTCATAATGAAGAAAGAATCATTCAGACGGTACAAAAATCTACAACTCAAGCTAAGCATCTAACGGATAGAAATATAGATGTACTATTAATATAAGTGTAAAACTTGGTCACTGTGGTCGAGTGTAATTCCATTTTAGTCTGTTTATTAGAAATATCACACAGTGAAGAAACAGTATCATTTACTGGATAACGTCTCGGACATAATTCATTTAGTGTCCATATTCATATCAGGTAACTTCACAACTTCAAGACAGTCTTTATGTAGTCCTAATTTTCTCTCCTTCTCTGTGATGACAACGCTAGTAGAATTTTCCATACATCTAGTTTTCAACACTGTCGCTCCATCCCACCGTTATGTGTGATTGTGTGCAGAGTTATAGCCGAGCTTTTCTCTAAATTTCTTATCTTATTAGGATCTACTAATCTTGATTTAGTCAAGTTTTTGTGCTCTGTTATTCTAATTAACCCTGGTTGACTACTTTGGCCTATATACTTGACCTCGCAATCATTGCAAGGGATCTGGTAAAGCAGACTATTTCGCCTAATTGCATCGATAGGATCTTTTAATCTACAAAGCTTGTTTCTAAGCAGGTTTGTTGGTTTGAATGCCACTTTAATCCCAGCCAGCCTTATTGAGAATTCTTCGTAGTGCTTCTGAGGTGCCTTCCTTTTATGGTAACACAGCAGAGGCTTTGAATTCTCTCTTAACCCTGTCACCAGTACTACTGTTATTAATAGGATTATTCTCAACAACACCTGTGTTACCACTACTACTGTTGACATTTTTCTTTCGATTTCTTATGAATTTATTTATAAATTTTGGTGGGTAACTGTTGAGAAGCAAGGTATTCTCGATGTATCTAATTTCTTGTCGCAGATTTTCCGATCTTCTAGCAAGCTTTTTTGCTCTATCACTTAAGCACTTAACTAGGCCTACTTTAACTGAAATGGGGTGGGAGGATTGGAAGTCTTAGTA